ACAATAACCCATATTTAAAGAGTAAACCACAGTTCAACAATCACCATAGTTGAGTCATACTCAACCACTGAATGTGGGCTGTTATTGTTACTTCATTTGCCCCACCATCGAAGCTGTCTTGTACTCATGTGATCTGATTTCCTGCCTTATTCCAGAAGGTGCTATTACAAAGGTTGCAGAATGCTAGGCTCTTCTGTCAACAGAACTCTAGTCTAATACAGCACAAGTCTCCTAACATGTTCTTATGTAACATGTAGTGTGTCCATAAAGCATTTTAGGCCATTGCCAGAGTTTACCACTTGCCATTTTCCTTTTCCATTCTTAATTCAAAAAATAATTCCAGGTTCTTGGACAGAAGTGGGTCTTTTCTATCACCCAATCCTTTTTATTGGAGATGCCCATGACTGAATCTGGACTTTCAGAAGGCCCAGCTACCTTCCAACACTGATCAAGTGCAGCCATAGATCACAAACCTGATGTATGAAAAGACTCATCTTCTAAGCTTGGGTAGTGGCTTCCAAATATTTCAGCCTACAACTCCCAAAAGACCTACTCAGCATAACTACTGACAAGGGGGAATGGGAGTTGTAGGCCAAAACATTTGCAGGGCCACAAGTCACCTACCTCTGCTCTAAGTAGAGCCATATGAAAAAAAAAAGAATGTACTGAGTTAGTTCCATGAAAAGGAAAGGTTCTATTCATCAGAGGGCCTTTACTTGGAACAATTCCTTTCAAAATATTATGAATAAACTTCTTGTAATTTTTATAGCAGTGGTGTAAGATCTGAAATCCCAGAACTGTACTTGTCACTTGATGAAGCAGAATATGCTGTTCCAGGCATGCTACAGATTTGTTTCTTATATTTAGAAATCATGGATTTAAAAGTCGTTTACTAATTAAGTTTGTCATGTTTCCCATAAGACTTTTTTTCCCAGAGATTAATATATTTGGCTCTCATGCCAATGTCTTTTTTTCCTTTTTTAGCTTCCTGAAATGACTCACATTCAGACAGAGCGACCGTGGTTGATGTTTCTCCTCCAGAACCTTGGATTACTATTAGGATGGCTTTGCCTCTTACTTTTAGCTATATATGAACAGAAAATTAAAATATAAATCTTCCAACAGTGGCCTGCAAAGACAAGGCTCTTGTCCAGCTTCCACTCTTTACACTGGGGCTTCTGGAACAGAAGTTCCAACCTGTGGACCTGTTATTCTATAAAAATGCTGACATTAGACATAAATTAACTATTTGACTATAGATCAATTTATGTTTCAAAAATTACCATTTTAAAAAATGGAATGCTTGGATTTATTTGCATTATTTTAATATCATTCTTTGGTTCATTATTTGCTTATTTACTATTTACATGTCCTTAATTAAATATTTTGGTATTTTCAGAATATATTACTAAAGATCAGCCATTTCAATTAACAATGCAGTTGATTAATCAGCATACAACTTTTGAAAACAAGTATTCCTTTTACAAAGCGATATTGTTTGTAAAATGGTTTATTTTTCTAAAATATTAATATATCAAATAGTTTAATCAATCTCTCTCTCTCTCTCTCTGTACACATTCAATACAGAAAGAAATCTACTAAATAAGATTTTTTCCAATTAACATTTCTTTTCACTGAAAGCAGGAACAATTATGATAATGCATGTTAAATTTGCCTGCATTTGCCAAAACAGAATAAAGCAACACTGAAATATTCAAACTGTATTTACTTTTATACTGTGTAACATTTGTACTGCACCAAATAGGATCTTTGGCAGCAGATCAGATCATTAGAGAGCATTAAACCAACAGAAAGCAAATGAACCAGTAAAGCATGAAACGGGATTTTACAAATCCTGTGATCTGTGAAACATTAGCATAACTGTACTCATCTTTATACACTCTTTAAGGCATTTCATCATACATTGGAAGTTGTCACAGATGCTTTTCTGTTTTGGGTGGAATCATCTGAATGCTAACGAATGCTAGAATAAGATGCAGACAGGCTGAAGTGCCCCTCCATTGGTAATCAGGGGCAGTTTATTCCATGCCCTTCCACGTTCTAACAGTCCGAAGTCAACACTGTTTGTAAGCAAAAGTCAGATGAATTTACACAACATCTGCTGCCATCAGACTTGTAGTCTGATCCTACCCATGTTTAATAAATGTTTAATCTGTTTAGGGTTAGGGGTATATTAATCCAGAATATAAATTGAATAAATAAATAATAAATAAATGTGTGACGATGAAGCATTTTGATGAAACAATTCCCAAAGTCTTCACTTAGAGGGATTTGGATTTCTAGACCATAATGATTCCAGTAGTGCATGGCATATTTTGAGAGTGAGAAGTGGAAGCACACTTCAAAATAGGATGTGCCAGGACTTTTAAACCTCCAGCCTCAGTTGCAGAGCAGCCCCGCTGGGATTCCAAATGGACCCTCTGGCCACACCCCTTTCCCCTGATTATTTGGCTTCCTGGCTTTTGCAGGGCATTCTTTCCCATTCTAAAAGGTTGAATCACCTGCGATAAATAACAATGCAACCAAATTGCATGATTAGTTGGCTTGCTGGGCAAGCTTCATCTTTTTAAGGAGCCTGTACCGGTATTTTCTGAATTCACTGTTAAGAATTGTTGCAGCCTTATGTGTATGCGCAGTCTGTATCTAAGCAACGCTATTTCTGGGCATGCACTGAGTTTGTTGGATCCAACCTTGTCCTGTTTACACTCAACTGTGATGTTACTTTATCCCACAACCTGCTGTAACAACAGATTTTCTTTCTCACTGTCCTCAGATCAGATTTTAGTTGTTGTTTGGTGAGTAAATGTGTCCTTGCCTGACTGTTGCTGATTGGTGGAATGTTTCTGCCAGAAACCTTTTGAGGAACCTGATCCAGAACGGGGTACATAGCGTGGTGAGGCACGGTGCTATGGTGCATCACTCCCAGGAGACAGTGAGGGTCAGTTGACTGAACGTAAGGACCCTGCCCCATAGAGCCTTCGGAAAAACAGGGGTCTGTGCGCAGTCCGCTGTAGGTCAGACCCACTCACCAAAATTACCATTTGCACGGCCACCTGCAGTGGTGTCAATCACTAGTGTGAGACGGGAAAGGGTTTGGTGCACTCCTGGGCATGTTTAGACAAGAAACATGTTGAGCAGGTCCCAGCATTCCCCAGCCAACCATCCTTCCTAGCTGCAGAGAATTGTCTACATGTTTTCCTGTCTCAGTACACATAGGCTTGCACACTTATCAGTGACTGGACCCTTGTCGAAGTTTAGGCTAGCATTATTAATCCGTTTAGTATTGTGTGAGGTTTTGTCTTTATATTTTATTGGAAGTTGTATTGCTCTGTGACTTTATCCATAAATCTTTATTGTTAACCGCCTCAAGTTTTGGAGTCGTGTGTGCAAATGTTTTAACTCAGTTCAATGAATCTTCTGGAGGAAACATGTGCAAGGCCAGTTAATGGAGTTCACCACCTATGTAGCCCAAGGGCTAAATCACGGCAGGGCAACCCAGCACCCCTGAGAAGTACAGAACTCAAAGATGTTCAGGGAGGCCTGTCCACTGTTCCCCACTGGCCAAGCATCCATTAACAGTACTGCCATGAGCTAGGATTCCTCCCTTCACACATCCAAATCCACAGACCTTTCTTGCAAAATGTTCTTTACTGACCAAAGCATTTTCCAGACACACAAATTCCCAGAATGAATCTCTGAGCATGCACAGAATGGTTGTTGAACCCAATCTAACATTCCTCTCCAGGAACTCTCCCTGTGAGCATGCCTACCCCTTGGGAAGGGCCTTCGGAAAATGAGCACGCCTCCTCTCTGCATGCCAATCCTCTAGTTGGGCTGCCCTCCTCTGCTTACATTGTGCCATGGGGTCAAGAGCCATACCTGCCTTGTCTGCCTCTGAAAAGCTCCCCTGTTCCAAGGCTCCTCTGCCAACTCTACACCTTCGTTATTCCACCTGGGAGCCTGGCCTCGAGATAAGTGTCTCTGCTTCTCTCTGTCAGGAATTGGCCCCCATTCCAAGCACCCCCTTCCTCCTCCTCTAAAGTCTAGCCAGCAAGCCTTGGGAATGTGTGCCCAGAGCAGCTTTCTGTCTCACTCCCAACAGCACCAAGGAAAGAACAATCCCCATCAGTAGCACTGGAGATGCTTAAGCCTCCTCCATGGCAATCCAGATACAACCAAGATCACTGGAAGTAAAGAGGCTTCCCATCCCACTGATTCCAGTGCAGCCAAGGTCATGGTCTCCATGCCACTAATAGCAGATAAATGAGATTTTTGTATCACTCATGGAACTCTTCTGCTCAAACTGCATCCAGCAAAGCAAGCCATGCACGGCAGCTTCTTTCTGTGTGCTGGACTGGGGCAAATAAATACTGAAATTTTAACTCCATCAAACATGAACTTCCAAGGATGGGTCCTTATTGGCCTCATTCTGGTATAACAATAAACAATCCTATATCATTATGTGAATAAGCCCATTTTCGCCTTAGGCTCATGCACCCCTCTGTGGTGGCCACAAGGAAGAGTTGAAAATATTGCTTTGATTTTTCACAAAGTGTGGCTAACCATTTCCTACAAAATGAAAAAAACTGTGGTTAGTCTTCCTATGGTGCACTGCAGCAAGTCAACTTTAAACCCTGATTTATGAAGCTGGCTTGTTTCAATAAACCTTAGTAAAAATTAACTACGAATTACAATTCTGCAATGTTAAACTATCATTAATAGAAAACAGAAGCAAAAGCTTTTGATCTACTCATAGTCATACCAAGAAGATTTGCATATCAACCTGAGGCTTCCACAGGTTCATTCACACAATCTAAAACACAGGTTCTTACTTGTTGTGTGATCCTGCTCCTTCTTTGCAGATTGTTATTAATTTTATGCCCTTTCACAAAAGCACCGGGGAAACATCTGGCTTATATTCCTGCTTGAGCTGAAGCTCAGCATATTTCTCTTGAACTCATCTCTTTTTTAAGCATCAATTCAATTTCTGACAAACATATCAGAAGCTGTTCAAAACAAACCAACAGCACAGATTTTGGAAAATAAATGTACTGAGAGAGGAGACTTATCCCATATCCCACCTCCAGTTATGTTTTTCCCTCCTGATTTCCTTGTGAAGCACTCACCCAAGAATGTGCCAATCAGATAAATTCTCTTGCTTGAACCGAGTCTCATGTTTTTCCAAATTCGTTCCGAGCAAAGGATAGGCATGAAAACATTGAGTTGCTAATGTAACTATCATTCTATCTGAGTGCTGTTGTTCCTTCTCAAAAGTCAGCATTCAGAGGAAGAAAACATCAATACACCCAGAAGCCCTGTGTATTTAACTGGGCATATTTTTCTTTGAAAAGCATGTAGGTTTTCCTTTTACTGAGCTTACACTTCAGCCTTTAAAGATCCTGACTCAAAGGCTGCTGCCTTTGTAACACTGCAGACCTCTTAACCCTCTTATACCCTTATCTCTGGGTTACATTAACTGAAATTAGCTTTAATGATGGTGTACAAACCAGCTTCAAACCCTAACTTCAGACTGTAGATTCTTTAGTATTAAAATGCTGCTATCATGCGAACTATAATAATGGTGAACTTTAAGCACAGTCTGCATTGCTAGAGGTGTAATGTTGCAGCAAGACAGATGCAGAGGTAGTGTTGAATTTCCGTCAGAGATGGGGGGCAGAGCAGTTATGAGCCTTCAACCAAAGGTGACAGCTTGCAGCTTCTCAGTGATGAAAATCAGGAGACCAGCATCTGAACCTTCCTAGAGGAATTTAGGAGCCAGGCCTTTCTGTGATGTGATAAAAATGTTTCTGCACATCAGCAAATGTTCTTTAAAAGGGAGAAGTTGGGTCAGTAAAAGCCATGCCAGCTTAAGCAGATGTGCAACTCATGATGAGAAACAAGTGAAGATGGATAGGTAAGATCTAGTTGCAAGATTACATGCCCCTATTGTTCTTTTTCATATGCCCAAAATGCCCTCCATTTTCCCATCTCAGTAGAGCAATAGCACAGAAATGAAAGATGATCTCTTGCTTAGTACAACAGTAATTAAATCACATATATATCTATGCATGCCATACTTACCCAATAAATCC